ATACTAACAAAAAGCGCTTATAATGATTAAGAAATACATCTAGCTATAATTCTGTCCTCTTACTTCCATTGTAAACGTTGCAGCATTGATGATCATTTATTTTTGAATAGTTTGGTGTAGTGGTTAAAAGGTAGAAACCGGGAGACCATGAGTTTTAGTCTTGCCTTAGGCAGGAAGACAGCTGGGTGGCCTTAGGCCAGTCACTCTCTCTCAGCCCTAGGAAGGGGGCAATGGCAAACCACTTCCAAAATCTTGCCAAAACACTCCACACTGAAAGGTGCGTGCATGCGCGCGGGCGCACACACACGGACATGCAATTTAGGTACCGCTTCACTACAACTGACTTAGGAAGGCTCACAATATATTACCATTAAAAAAAAAGTGTGCGTGTGTGTGTGTGTATTCATTGAGATTTTAGCTGCTATTGTTACCATGTAATACCTTCCCATGTTTTTCCAGTCTAATCCTTCCCTTTTATTTTGTTTTTTGTTTTGGGTTTTTGTTTGTTTAGTAGTTTTAGAGTTTCAAGAAAAACTGCAGGGATGAACTCAGGGGGTGTTGTTTCATGGGATTTAGAGACATGTTTTTTGACAACACTGGAGATGGCATGAAATATTTGGCCTCACTCAACTATCATTAGGACATTTTTCACATTTTCAAAAATATAATGTGCTTTCGAAAATCAAGTTCATGATGCATGGTAGTAAATTTAATTCCATCTGTTTGGACTGAATAATCACCAATGGTGAAGTATATTGCAAAAGAATAATGATTTTAATTTAATTAATTAATTAAAATTGAATTTTCATTAATGGTTTACAGCTATTATTCTCAGTTTTATTCATTCCTTTCATATGTGGCATTTTAACCATTCTCACCAGCAATGTTACCTCCCCAGCAAGTTATGGGGGGGGGCGCTCCAGGGGCTTATGGCACACTTTATAGATATATTTAAGAACTCATGAAGAAAGAAAAGCAGAAAAGGGGTAAGCCAGTGCTTAATATCCAGAGAGTTTTTTTCATTCATAGCAGACATTTTTCTAAACTGTCTGTGAATTTTCCTTTTTCATCTGAGTACAAGTGCTTTTCTCTTTCAAAATCTGAGCCAAATTCCTTACCAAAATTGTTTTTTCAGTTGCAAAAGTACTCCAAATAGAGCTCTAATTTTGAACTACCTATTAAATATTTAGAAAATATTAATAAAATGAAAGGTCTGAATAATATTAACCAGTCTACAAACTGTGTGCCATCTGCTCGAACACTGAATAGCAGAAACAACATTCTGCTGCACAGACAACAGCAGATGCCATTAGCACATGCTACATTAAAATGTAGAAGCCTTCCAATACTGGATTCTGAATAGTTGAAAAAAATCAAAATTGCTATAGGAACTTGGTTAAATAAAAATTCTAAAGATGTACATTAGAAACTTACAAAAATATTCTCCTATGTGAAGAAGAGTCTGTATATTCCAACATATAGTGTTTCACAATAAGAAGCTGGGCAGAAGCTCTTCCCTAGCTATGGTATGTTTGTCTCACAAGCATATCAACAACGATTCCTGTTTACCTGGTATCAAGGCCGTGGACAAAATATGGTCTGCAGAGGTACTCCATCCAGGTTGTCCACCCTTTAGACCTGCCACCATTCTTTCCACTTAAGCCAACTTTCTCTCATTGATTCTTGCCCCGAGGGCTTCAAATTAATAGACTGTTCACCTATGATTTGTAAGAGCAGAGACTGGTGAGATGGAAACCAGCAGTTCCCAGGCTACAAGAAACTGTTATGTAAACATAGCTGGGCTGCTGTCAAGCCTCCAAAGAATAATCAGGAAAGCTAGATTCTCATAAAATCTTGTTGCCAAATAGGGGTTATATTACCAAATGTTTGAAATTAGATAGGTATGTGCTTTAGCTCTGCTTTCATCTACTAAGGAAGTCCTTGATGCCTTTGATTTTATTTATTTATTTATTTATTTATTTAGCTCTATCTTGATTTGGAGAGGAGCTGGCTCCCCATTTATGAGACAAACTAAATGTACATCTGTTCTGGTTTGTCACTGGTTCATAAACAAGCCTCCTCATTCCCAGGTTCAGAGAATCCCATTAGAACTGCCTCCCAGAGCCACCAAGTGACCAACCAAGTATCCATTATGTCAGACGGGTGAGATAAAAAAGCTTAGAATATAAACTCTGGGAATGCAGATAGTTAAAGGCTCTGAATTCTTTGTTCTGTATTGAACAATAACATTTTGTGTTTAAGACTTCATTATCTGAGAGTCTTCTGACAAGTGAAGACAAGTGCTGAACAATGGTTAAGTGTCTGGAAAGCTGTAATTTACTGCTAACTATACTATAGTCCAACTGTAAATGATTTCACAACCTCAAGCTGACAGGTAATTTACACTTTAAAAAAAATTAGTGAGATGCTTTAATGCTACAAGTTGATATATGAAGAACCACAAAGAGTGTATTGTGAAGGAAAAGTAAAGCAAAGGGGTGCTTCCAATCAATGGACCTTTGTGTTTTCCATTAAAGTCTGCCATTTCTAATGCCTCTGGGGACTAGGCAAAGGCATTTCTAGCATCTCCCTAATCATATTTCTTCTCCTTACATCCAATGGATGTAAGTCCATTGTGGTCAGAAGGCAGTTTCTGTCTATTTTCTTACTGATGTTCTCAAAGTGCCATCTTGGAAGACTCAGAATTATTCCAATGTTCAAAACAATATACAATACAGTTCTTCATTATTTGAAGCACAAAACCAAAAGATCTTGTAGAATACTCAACTGAATCAGAAAATGAGAAGGCATTGTAAGAATCTTACCAAGAAATTAACATGCTGGGTAAAATGAATTTAAGAGTTTGCAGTCATGTGAAATACTCCATTTTAAGCCATTTCTTTTTCAGATTCATTCCTAGAAATAAATTGAATTAAACATCATAGCCCTACTTCAGAATTTCTGAAAAAAAGGATATAATTTTCCAGATAATGTCTAACTTGTTGTTGATCTCCAAACTTTTTGCTTGCTTTCTCTCTTCCTCCATCTGCTTTGAGTTTGCATATTGTGCTCTTTCACCAGGAGAGTCTGGGGAACTTTCAAAGTTGAACTTGTCAACTTGTATAGCCATGCTACAATTGAAAAGAGAAATAATTACTGGCAAACATTTATGGAACATTTCGTGGATCACATGGCAAACGTGCATCACATCAGTTAAGTAACAGGAAACATTAGTGATAGAATGAATTTCTGCTAATAAACATAAATCAAGGGAGTGCAGACTAACATTATGATTATTAAGACAAATGCTGAGCTATGACAGTAAAGCTGCTTCTCGGCAATGAGGACCTCTTTAGTATTCATACATTTCTAGAAAAACACATGTAGTTATCATTGAAGAGATTATAATTAAGAATTACTGGGAAAGGCAAGCATGTTAATAAAAAATACAGTTGGCTACCAAGCAACAATGTAGTTTTTCCTCTCCTCACACATGTGCATGTCAGTGAGAACTACACCGGAGAAGTTTCTTGTAAGAGCATTCCTATTTCCCTATGAATTGCTCTTGGTCCATACATTCAAGAGCCTTGCTAGTTATTGATCCATGAGGGAACACTGATCACTGGGGCAAATGTGTTCAACCAGTTGGCCCTTACTGCTACCTGTAATGACTACCCTTCCTTTCTCACAGTGCTGGGTTCAACAACAGCCTCGTTTTTCCATTCATTTAAAATATTTATACTCTGCACTTCACTGGAAAAGCTTTCAAAGCAGCTTACAGAGCAATATAAGAAGACAAGCCCTACTTTCAAGCTAATCACCTAAGAAGAAATGACCCAGAAGGTAAAGAGGTAGGGAAGGGAAAGAAAAACAAGAACATTCAAGCACTCAGTCATAATGCATATGCATCTTACAATAAAAGTGTACAAATACACTTTTATTTGGGTACAGTAGGGTACAGGGTACAGTAGCTGCAATGCAGCATTAAAAGAATTGTTGTTCTCCTTTTTCATAATTAGTTATCTCACAGCAACTGAAACAGAGGAGCCCCAAACTTCTATTCTCTTACCTGAGGCAAAGGAAAGTACCTGCTTTTCTTCCCCCTCACAGAAGGATGGAATGGTTGTAGGATTCCCATTCCTTAGGGCAGTTTTTCTCAACCTTGGCAACTCTAAGATGTGTGGACTTCAACTCCCAGAATTCCCCAGACAGCTGGGAATTCTGGGAGTTGAAGTCCACACATCTTAGAGTTGCTAAGGTTGAGAAACATTGCCTTAGGAAAACAAAGTCTATGGGAGCTGAGACTCTGATGGAAATCAGAAAACTCAGATGGGCTGATGCTGGCCCAGCATTTCTTCCAACATTTATTTTAACTGTGTTAAATAAATGATAACTATCATTCATGTATACCTTTATACAATTATTGAAAAATGTATAGGCTCACTATTTATAAAGCACACAAACAATGAAAGAAATACTAGACTAAAAATGCATTTCATAGCTGCTGTAAAGGCCTGCAATGTTAACTCCTAGTTTCTGAAGGGGGCATATTCCAGAGTTCAGCAGCAACTACTGAAAAGGCCCAGTTTTGACTTACTGCTAAGATATCCTGTAGCAATCAGAGGGGACTCTTTATGGCTGACAGATGCCACCAGATCTGGGCTGCAAAAATCTGGATGACCTCTGGTTGGCAGCAAATCTAGAGGTCATCTGATGTTGACCTTAATAAGTGACAAGAATCATGTCAAGTACAGCATGTATTTTCTTAGGCAACCCAGACATAAGACGATGTGTCAATTTTAATGCTTGTGTGCTAGGATCTCTGGGCTGTTGCAGAGAACAGTCTGGCTGCTGCAATCAGTACAAGACGTTTTCAGCTACATACAAAGGCAGTTCCACATACAGTTCATTGCAGAAGTCAAGTGTAAACAGCAGCAGCTGGTGCTCCACCTTTTTAAAATTGTATTCTTCTACAAACAGCCACAGCTGGCATATCAGACAGAGCTGATAAAAACTCTTTCAGGCCATTATCTCAATCTTAGGTATCAAAAGCAATTAGGTCTACTCTTTCTGAGGGAGTGTAGTTCCAACCAGAACAGATTTATCATATCCCCAGAATTAGGAGAACTTCATAAAGAGCATCTTTGCCTCGCTTGAATTCAATTCTGTTATCCCTCATCTAATCCGTTCCAACTGTAAGTAGCATTTATGTCATTTCTTGATGATATAGGTATAGATTTGGGAGCTTTCAGCATATTGAGAGTAGCTAGCATCAAAAATCTGGATGAACATCATCAGTGGTTACATGTAAAAAATAAATAAATTAAAAATTCAAATCCTGGGGGGCAGTACAGTACATTTTTGGAGAGTAGCGGTCATCAAGCAACACCATCTGGGATCCATCAAAAAGACTTGAAACACTGCAGAGCTGGGCTTCTTATTCCCAAATCTCACAGATAATCCAAAGATATTATGATTGATGGTATCAAAAGCTTCAAAGAGAGCTCAGAGAAATAAGATAGTAACATACCTTCTATTGGTTCATAGACAACGATCCAATAAGGTCATCTCAAGCCTGGGACTGAACTAATACAGTTGTTCTCACACAATAGTTGCCACGGGAACTTTACGATTTATAAAATGGCTACTGTAATTGTGAGTCACAGAATGCCTATTTACTGGTAACCATGTTGTTCCCTGCCATTCCCTCTACCCTTCTCCCAAATCCTTTCCGTCAGACTAGCTTTATCCTTCTTTCTAGGCAAATGGGCAATTTTCCAAACAAAGCACTGGATTGCAGCTATCCAACATCTTTATTTTCTAAAAATGTCCATGTGGTACCCAGAAACACTAATATAATTCCAACAGAGGAGAATATATGTAGCTTAGGGTTGAACTGTGGAGTCCTTGGTGCTCTCTGAGCTTGGCTGTTTGCTTGCAGATATTTCATTACCTGACTAGGTAACATTATCAGCTCTAGTGAGTGGGGAGTTTGCTCCCTGTCATCTCAGAAACAACCAACAGACTATTACAAACACATGGCATCACTGTAGTGCACAAACCAACTACACCCTCCAAAACAATGTATGTGGGTTGGGAGACTTAACTTGGACTTTATGGGTTGGGAGGCTTAAATACTCAAGCAGGTGAGTCTTTGCAAAGCCAGTGAAAGATGCTTCCAGTTAAAAAGAAACGGGGAACTTTCTAAAGTGGTGGCTTTCTCTCCAGCCCAAAATGACAGGGATGAAGACCTTATTTCAGTGTTAGGATCAAAGTGTCTTTGAGTAAGAGAAGCAAGCAGGGTTATAGTAACAGGCATAGTCACAAGTCTCACGACCCACATATACTGCTGGGATGCATTTGTCTAGAGCCACACACTCCCATGTCTGAATCACTCTAGTTTAGAAGAAAAAAATCTATTTTCTGTTGAATGCTGTAGATGAACATGCAACAAAAACAAATTGCATTGTTTGCAATTGCCGCAAGGAACATACGAAAGCAAATGTTGAAAAACAGTGCTGTTAATATTAGAGGGAATGTATTGAACTGATATGGATTGTTATAATTTTAAATGAATTTTGCTAAAACCTATGGTTGCAAATAAATGATATGTATATATATACAGTAGCTTGCCCTGCAAATGTTGCGGGGGGGGGTGTTTTCTCCCCCAGATAGTTCCTTGATTAGGGTATTGTTTTCTGCTTGATTTTTTGTCTGGTATTAATCCCTGCTTATCTGGATGTAGGCTGCTGGAGGGGATGTGTTCTGGTCTTTTTGTTTCCTTCTTAGCTTTTTTGTTGTCTCTTTTGAATAGTGTGTAAATGTGGTTTATCTCTATGTGTCTACTGATGGCTGATTTGTCTGAATGCCAAGCTTCCAGGAATTTCCTAGCATTTTTGGATTTAGCTTGGTCTAGGATGTTCAGTTTTGCAGTTGAAACTATGGTTGGGGTCCTTAGAGTCATCTATGGTTGGGGTCCTTGGAGTCATCAAAACAGGAGTCATCTACAACATACAATGTAAGGACTGTAACAGCCATTATATAGGACAGACAGGCAGAAGGCTAGCAGAGCACATCCATGAACACCAATTAGCAGTCAGAATTCATGATGAAAACTCGTTAATCTCACAACACATGGACAGATTCAACCATATACAGCAAGTATCTGGAGGCTGAGTCATGCCAACTGGGCTTCTTTTCTTTTGGTTAGATATATTTCGCTGCTTGTCCAGGCAGCTTCTTCAGTCTAGAAGATTGGTTAGGGGGGACCCCATAAATGTCTTCCAGGGTGGCTGCGTTTCTCACTAACATAATGGGCTCGTTGAAGGGACAACAGGAGATGTGATTAACAGAGTCTTTGGGATGTGGATGTCTTACTCCTAATCCCTTACTCATCCCACAACACAGGACCAGAATCAGCAGTTTACCTTCATCTAAAAGAAAAAGAACACTCACTCGAGGACAATAATGTTCACATTTTGGACAGAGAAGATAGGTGGTCTGAGAGAGGAGTGAAGGAATCCATTTATGCCAAAGTGGAAAATCCTTCCCTCAATAGAGGTGGAGGCCTCAGACACAACTTGTCTCCCATTTTTCGTGCTGCTCTTTCATCAGTCCCCAGGAAGATTAAAACCACTTCACAAGTTCACCAGGGAGGCAGCACTTAATGACCCACTTGGGGATGAATGAGGGATTAGGAGTAAGACATCCACATCCCAAAGACTCTATTAATCACATCTCCTATTGTCCCTTCAATGAGCTCATCATGTTAGTGAGAAATGCAGCCATCCTGGAAGACATTTATGGGATCCCCCCAACCAACTTTCTAGACTGAAGAAGCTGCTTGGACAAGCAGCAAAACATACCTAACCAAAAGAAAAGAAGTCCAGTTGTCATGACTCAACCTCCAGATAATCCCACCTGGATGACTGAGAATCTTCATCAACATATACAGCAAGCTACTGTGTATAAACAGGGAGCAAACCCCACTCCCTTCTAGCACTGATGATGTTACCTAGTCATGTAATGAAACATCTGCAAGTAAACAACCACACTCAGAGAGTACCAAGGACTCCATGCTAATGTAAATCAAGATGACACCACAGGATAGTGCTTAGCTTTGCAGAGTAGC